TTAGCTTCAAGGTGGGAGTACATGTAATGAAAATAAACATTGCCTAAAAATAGTTTTTACCAAAGAAAAAGAATTTTAGAATAAAAGGAGAGCAACCTGAGTAGAAATATTAAGGAAATATTGTCTATAAAAGAAATTTAAAAAATCAAAACTTTATGCCCTTAGAAGATAAACTTAGGATTAAAATCAAAATTAGTACTGAACTCATACAAGAATTAGAAGATCAAATATCAAGATATCAGTTTCTTTTATCATTAGCTTCTGGCAGATCTTTAGAAAATTACAGTTTAAAAATTTCTCAGATAAATAAACAGCTAACTATAAAACAAGAAGCCTTAAAATTAGCCATACAACAGCTTGAAGACCTATTAGTATAACTGTAGAATTAATTAGATAATTCTCAGCTCAATTTCAAAATAGTGGTAGACCACTAACTCATACCTCCCCCCAAAATTGGTATCGGAGCAGTGTTCGGTTTTAGGACAATTTAAGTTAGTTTATGCATTTTGCTTATGGTAATAGAGTAGTTTTTATTTTTGGACATTTTAGCTATAAATTTCATATTATAGTAGCTTGTTATAATTTTAAAGTAGGAGTTAATTTTGTGTATGAAAAAAGTAGAGTATCTAGATTTAGAACTCAGTAGCCATAACCATCGTCTCAGCATACATAAAAATAAATTTCGTTGTAATTTCGAAAATACCTGTACACATCAGCTTCATAGTGAACATAATCCTCAGCTAAACAGTATCATAGATTATCAGATTAACTTTGCAGAAAATATCAAAAAGGACATAGATAAAATTAGTAATCTTTTTATTTCATCCATAGATCATCTTCGAAGTAATCGTAGCATAATCAAAGATCAAGATAAAAAATTAGATTGTATCCAAGACCGGTGTCGTTCAATTTAACAAAAAAGAATAGATTTAAATTTAGAAAAATTTCCCACTAAATTAGAAATAGAAACTCTAATTTCAGCCACAAATAATAGCAGCTCAAAACAAATAGAGTTAGAATTTAAACAATTAATTGAAAAAATCCATAGTCAGATAAATTAAATAGCTAAACAAATAGAACAAATTAACCAAATTCAAGATAACCTAAAACAGAAATTAGAAATTTTAGAACAACTTGTAAGATCTTAGTTTATGAGTAGTGATAAGAAAGCTAATAGAGACTACCAGATTATTTTAAAACAAGCAGAAGATTTTCATAATAACCTAGAAGGAGTCAATAGTTATCAAGGAATAAATCAATCAGATAAAATATCAGTAAGACAAAATAATATAGAAATTTTATTTCTCATTTGATTGTGTGAAAAATTTGAATACCTATCAGAACAACTACACAGCTTAGAAAATCGTTTAGCTTCTTTAGAAAGAATAATACTTTAAAAAGGAAAAGGAGTAGAAGGACAAACTAATAGACCCCAATCTTAGGTAAACGAAGAAGATATAGCCAGATATTTTGAAAAACTTAAATTACCAAGAAAATCCACCTATAGAATTTACAGAAAATAAAAATGTTTAAACAGCTAATAAAAGGAAGTAGCAGTAAAAAGCGTAATGAAGATGAAAATATTAAAATGGAAGAATTTATAGATGTAGAACAACAAATAGAAATATTTAAGAAAGAGTAATTAGAATTAATTCCAGCTAAATATATATATAAGCTAGGTAAGATTCATAAAAAACAATATCTATTTAAATATTATAGTGAGTAGATGATTAGTGTAACCTAGAAAGATGAAAAAATAGAGCTAAATTTGATAGATAGAGAAAGCTATAAATATGCAGTAAAAGAACACCTTAAAATGACTCATTTAGGATTAGTTGTGGTAGGAATTAAAGCTTTAACCAAAGAAAATTTAGGAACTAAAGTCTTTGTATGTCTTTATGATGATAGATTTAATGACGTAGGACAAAGTATTTTAGGCAGCTGTGAATTAAATATGAATTCAAAAGGAGGTATAGTTTATTTTACACCAGATTTCTTATTACCAACCTCAACTTTCCATAAAAAGATAAAAATAGGAATAAAGAGTAGATGATACGATATGAAAAAGGGAGAAAAGAATTTATTAGTTTGCACATGATTTTTAGGCTTAGCGGTTTCAGAAAGCAATACCCACTATAGACTTACAAATGATCAGATAGTTAAGTTATTAGGCGCAAAAGGAATAAAGGCACTACCAGCTAAAAAATTTAATTATGTAGATAATGCAGCACTAGATTGGAAATTAGGAGACTTCTAGGACAAAAAAGATTAGCCTCACAAGATAATTTACTATATCAAACAGCAGATGGAAATTATGCAGTAAGATTTACCCAGTATACCTATGTAGCACCAGAAAAGTCTGAAGATGATGAATTTAGCAGTATAGATAGGGAAGAAAATCAAGATAATCGTAGTGAAATAAATCAGCTTTATGTAATGACAGAAGAAAAAACCATGTCACAAAATAAGATATATAATATTGATGAGATAGATTTAGAAAAATTTACCCTAGAAGACATGAATAAAATATTAGATGCTAGATATTATGAATACTTAGCCAGAGGAGATACCCATGACGAAGCAGTGTCATTTTTGGATCAAGAATTTCATACAGAATATGTAGATGATATCATAGAAGATAATATACATCCTAGCAAAATATTTAAAATATCAGAACAATCTAACCTAGAAGATACTTTTTATATGAATACAGAAAGCTCAGGAACTAATAACCCACAACCAACTGTAGAAGATCCCATAGAACCAATGCATTATGCAGTTGGAGGAAGAAGACCATTAGCCAGTTCATGACGTAGTCACACAGATCCAAATAAAAGCTATAAGTTTCATGGAAAGCGTAGACAACTAGATATGAGTATACAATTACAGCCAGTCAATAATCAAGAACCTTTTTAGATTTAGCCAGATTCGACCCTCAGATATGGCAAGAAGTAATAGAAAGATGGGAAAAAGATGCAGTAAAAGCATGGATGACCAGTCCCTATGAATCAACGGATATGTGGAAATATATGGAGACACTTCTAGGAGATTCAGCTTATAATATTTATTTAACTTTTAAAGAAAAATATGAAGAAACAATTAAACAGCTCAAAGAGTTAGGTAATAACCCATGGAATTTCACCAGTTTTATTAAAGAAATATTTTTAGGATATGATCCCTCTAGAAGAAATGATTCCGCTCAAAGCGTAGCATTAACTGAGTTAGACCAAACAACATTAGGAAGTTGGAAATACATTGTACCTTTTAGTAAAGAATACTTAGCCATAGCAGCAAGAACTGGAAAAAGTTTTGATGAATAAATAGGAAATAAATATTTTAGAAAATTACCAAGAGAACTAGGAAGAGAGATAGAAAATAAATGGTCAGTTTATTATGCAAGTTTACCAGCAAAAATAGTCACAGGAGAAATAAAAATAAGAGGAACTTTAGGAATAGGACCTAGAATAGTTTTTACATTTTATAAACTCAGAGAAAAATGTATAGAAGTTAAAATACAGAAAGATTTGAAAAAACAAAGTTATGTCTTTTGTAGTAGTGTAATATATACTCCTCAGCAATATGAAGATAAATATAATAGGAAGAAATACAAAAAACATGGAAAATATAGAAAAGAAAAATATTGGAAGAAAAAATATAGAAAATCATGGAAAAAACAGAAATTCATTAGAAAAAGTAGAACCTTTAATAGGACAAATTATAAGAAATTACCCAAAGAAGAAAAAAATAAAAGAAAACAAAGATATGTTAGAAAACCCAACAGTAAAAAATGCAATTGTTTTATATGTGGAGAACCCAATCATTTTGCTAAAAACTGCCCAAAACAACAAAGACCTAATACTAATAAACAGATAGAGAGACTTCATATTATAGAAGACTTAGAAGAAGATATAGTTAGCATAACTAGTGATGATTCATAAGTCTATAACATAGTCAGTGATTATGAATATCAAATAGAAGCCATAAGTTCAGATAGTGATTCAGAAAGTGATACGAATATAGATAATCTTTTAGGACAACTCAACCAGGAAATAGGACTAACTCCTTCCCAAGATGCTTTCTTTATGATGGAATGTAATGCAGATACGGAATGTCAGCATAATTTTCAAATAGGACTAGGATTTGATACTACTAGATGTAGCTATTGTAATTGGTTTCCAGCTAAAGATAAGAGAGCTCAATGTTTATTATGCATCATAACCTATTGTTTAGTTTGTCTTGAAAAATTAAACATGACATATAAGATAACATTAGGAAATACCAGAGAAGATCATAGTCTAGAAAGCAGAGAATTACATTTAACAATTAGAGATTTAGAACTACAAGTAAGGGAACTCAAGTTACAAATACATGAGATAGAAACTAAGACTAGTTTTGACATAGAATGTTTAGAACTAGAAAATAGACAGCTTAAATAACAGCCAGAACAATTTCACAATAAGTACCCTTTAAAAGATAAACTGATTGAAAAACATATGAATTCTTTAGAATTAGTCAACCTAGTTGATTTTCAACCCTTTAGTCAATACTCTAAAGCCCAACCAGATAATACATATTTACTATTTAATTACCCGGTTGTACCCAAACTAAATTTAGTTGAGATCTCTTGTGTAATCAAATTTGCAGAAAAGACCCTTAGTATAGATGCCATGATAGATACAGGAGCCAGTAAATCATATATTGAACAACAAGTAGTTCTACTAGGATGGAGCACAGCTTTAATAACCTCAACTTTGGTTAGTATAACCGATGGTACTAAACAGACATATATATATTGCATCAATGGAGTACAGATTAGTTTTCATCATCTAGATTCTTAATATCAGCATATAGAGTAGTTTTTTTTACCTCAAGTTTGGATTAATCTCCTATATAATAATAAAATTAGTTAAATTAATAATTAAAATAAATTATTAAAGGGTTGAGAAAAACCACTTCTACTTTTTTTTTTTTCTTTTTCAATATAACGGAAAGAAAATTGAGAAAAACCACTGGAAGGCCTGGACTTGTCCGAAACCCACCAGCCGCTTGAAATCCACATAGAAACGCTAGAAAAAACACATGGAAGCCGGTTTCTCGTACCCTCCTCTCGGCTCCTAAAACCCCACCTCAGAATTTCCGAATTCCTCTATTTTCCTACCACTTCCCATCTTTCTCGAGAAAATTCCTCAAATGGGTCTCCCTAAATTCCCTCTAAATCAAATAGGTTCTCGTTAAAATCAGCTCACGGGCAATCCTTGAGTCTCTCTCTACCCGGACTGGATTGCTGGTTTGTTCTATTGCTTATAACTATGGCGTTTAAAATCGGTTCGTCATTTTCTTGCGTTGCAACCTCTCTTTCTTCTCCTTCTCAATACAGAAGAAGAAGTTCACAGGTATTTCGTATTCGATTTCTCAGAGTATCCACTTGAAATTGCACTTTGTGCTCTCCGTTTTGTTAGTGTATGAATATCTGTATCTTAGGGTTTTCTTTTAAAAGCTAAATATTTTCATAAACACGAGCAATGGAGGTAGTTGGTGTATCAGATTCTAGTAGTATTTATATTATATTGCCTTAATTCTGCAAATGTCACATTGATTGATGTAGCTGTTTTTGAGTAAAGAAATTTGTAGTGTGCTTCGTTTGACTGTATATAAAATTGTCAATTTTTATCTGATTTTTTGATACATCTGAAAGGAAATCACAAATATACTACTCCTTAAATGGGAGCGAGACTCCCAGAATCGGCCAACTGCGCTAGCCCAGGTTGGTACATGAATGAATCTGTAGTTGACATGATTCTTTGGAAGTTTATAATCTGTACTCTGGTGCTAGATTTGAATTAGCTCCACAAACCTTGTCCCAGCTATTTTGGTTCAGTCGCAAAGTTGACTGTTTTAGCCAAACTAGGACTTTAGATGCGATTAAGAGTGAATTGGAAATCTGAATTTGCATTTGTGGGTTTTCAAATAGCACCTCCCAGTTGTTATGTCAAATCCACAGATTGGGGGTTTTAGAAAAACCTCTTTTGGTTGTTTTCCTGAAATCTATGTCTGCATTAGAAAAGTTTTTCCTAACTAAAGATTTGGGTTTGTTGGTTAAAACTTAAATCAAATCCATCCCATCTAAATACTGGAATCCTGATGCCAACTTAAATTAAAGGAACTTTTTTTTTTCATATTACTGCTTTATGTTTTCCCAACACTCCCTGCAATGCCTTAAACTTCATCATTATCACTCCTTTACTGTTTTCGTCGCACCCCCTTCCCTCCACTCGACAAAATACATCTTATATAAAATTTTTATTTTATGGAGAGAAGAAAATGAATTGTGTATTTGATGAATTTAGGCACTCATACTTCTACCACTGTAGCACATGATCAAATCTTGATGAGCTTTTCTGATCCATTATCTTTTACATTGCAATGTTATTTTAAGCCTTTTATTTTAATGTATTGCCCAAAATATCTTGATTATATTTAATTATGATGTTTTATCTCCCTTTTAATCAAGGGGACAGCGGACTTTTCTTTTGAATGGCAACTATTAATTGTAAAGTATCAAAGAATGCCTCTCTAGTTCACAGATGAACTCCCCACCCTCTCAAAGATTTCAGAAGTCATATGATTCATACATGGAGTCTTTGTTAAATTAATCATAAGATATATATTGTAAATAAATCTTAATACTATTGGCACGTATGGTTTCCCAGAAGAAATTGAATCATAAGATTATTTTGGGGTCTCTTGACTGGTTGTTTTTGTACCTATGTTTTCTGGATCTTCCTGTTCAATGGAAGGTGTTTTAACCTGTGTTAAACAATCAGTAGATGACTTAAACAATCTACCTGTAATGTATATCTTCTTCTAGGACTCTAAAAAGTAAATAGTTGATTGGTTCCTAGACCACAGTATGGGCATCCTGAAGGCCATGCCTAATTGAGTCATGGACTGGCTTATTGCAGTATTTACAGGTGCACAACGATTTTTAAATGCATAGGTTGAGTCTCATCTCTTTAATATTTTAAAACAGTGCTTCAATCTCCTTAGGAAGTTCTGCTCTTGCAAAAATTCCTTACATCGAGCCCTTCTGCATTTCTTGCACTCTGCAGCCGAACTATCTGCACAGGAAGGCATGCATTCTTGAAGTGCCATTGCTTAGACAACCTTAGACATATGTAGGGCAATCATCGGTTCCCTTCCTTTATTTTTTATTTTTTATTTTTTATTTTTTTTCCCCCTCCTCATAACAATGATTCTAATTTTCCCCTTCTCCAAATGATGATTCCCATTGACAACCAACTTTTGCTTTGAGCTGGTTAGCTTTGGGTTGCACTTCTTTTCCTTTCGATCTTGTGTGTGTGATATGCAGCCAAAAGCTGTTCCTTCTGCATTTGACTGCTGACAGGGGCATGTATCAACCAAATCAAACCAAACCGAACCGAACCAAACCAAACCAAACTAAGCCTTAAGTCTCATCAAATGGGGTCGACTATATGAATCCTTCTTCTTCAAGTGGCCCTATCGAAGGCCATTTCATTAGTCAAATTAAGTAGATTCATATCTCTATTTACAACGCTAGCCAACGTTAATCTAGGCCTATCTCGTCCTTGAACACTTTTATCTACCGTTACAGCATCGCATCTCTTCACTATTGCCGCTGTTCCGTTGAATATAACCAAACCATCTCAATCGATTCTCTCTCAACTTATCTTCTATCAGTACTACTCCTACCTTTTCCCAAATACACTCATTCTTAATTCTGTCTTGTCTAGTCTTGCCATGCATTCACCTTACGATCCTCATCTCAGCCACACTCATCTTATCTATATATTGTTTCTTGGTTGCCCAACACTCTGTTCCATACAATATCGCTGGTCTAATAGCCGTTCTATAGAACTTACCTTTTAGTCTAGTGGGTATTCGTTTATCACACATCAGTACCCCAGACGCACTTCTCCACTTACACCATCTCGCTTTAATCCTATGGGGCACATCCACATCAATCTTTCCCGCTGTTGTGATATAAATAACGAAAATATTCACTTTTAGGTAGTTCTTGGTTCTCAACCAGGTTACATGAATTGTTATTTAAAGAACTATATAGTCATTCGTACTGAGTATTCCTTCAAATATACATTTATTGATGTAGCACGTAAGAGGGAGAAAGAAGAGAGAGAGAAAGGAATAACGCAAGGGCCGCAACCCTAATCATGACAGCCACAGTCTAAACACTCAATATCAATAATCCAAACTGAATAATACAACGCCAAAAACGTAGGATAGACCACCAACCCAAATTAAATTAGGAAACTAAATTATAATATTATTTGGAGAACAAAGGCTCCTAACAAGACTCAATTAAATTGAAGAACCAAATCCTACCATTATTTGGAAAGTAAACACCTAATAAAAATCAATTAAATCGGTAAACTAATTCCTAATATTATTTGGAAAGAAAAGGCTCCTATCAAACTATAATTAATTAAATATAAATAAATAAAAATCTTAAAGACAAAATTATAATTTCAAAATTGGTGTCGTCGTTCCGCATCATTTATTCTTACTGATTATTAGGACTGGCACAGTGAATTTGGAATATTATAGGAGTGTTCACGGGTCGGGTTTGTCCTTGACCCATCAACTGACTGACCATCTTTGGGTTAACTATGAACAACCTATATTCACTGAATGCTTAATTCAAAACCGTTCACTCAAGTCATTTGGTTGACGGTCGGTTTAATAGTTAGCCTTCATACTTTTCAGTTACCAATTTATCAGTCCTTTTTTTACTTAAAAAAAGGGTAATACCTCAAAAACTCTAGAAATTAAATTTAACGAAGGGGTAAGAAATCAAAAAGGAAAACTTGTGAAAGAGAAGAACCTGAAAACATCTAAGAGGAGAGAATTTGAGTGAGTTTGGCAAGCAGAACATTTTCATCATCCACTGCCCAAATAATTCTTTAGCACAATATCACTTATCCGCTTGGTTTTTCACATCTTCATCGTTCCTCCACCAAGATTTGTTGTGAATATGTAGTCCAACCACCATGTTGGGAGTTGACGATCCAAGGGGAGGGTGTTAAAGGAGGTCAGGAAAGGGAAACATGAGAGAGGGAGATTGGGGAGGGGAGATTTAGGGGAAAGGGTGAGGGAGGTAGGGAGATCACGGAGTTGCAAATTTGTGTGTGTGTGAGAGAGAGAGAGAGAAGCCCATGTAAGGATGTAAGTTGAAAAATAGGTGATATGTTGCCACGTATGGATGTTCAGTTCAAGTAGTTGGGTTTGTACAGTTTTGATGGCTATGTGATTGCTGACCGTGAAACAGATAACTTTGCATTAAATCAACTGCTGTTGACTGTGCGAAAATTTGAAATTGTTAATTTCTTCATTGGTTAGAGAGAGTTAACATCGAAGTATATAAGCCCATGTAAGGATGTAAATGGGATCGTGTAGGATCGTATGGTAGGATCGCAAGTAGGATCGTAGATTTTATGATTTTTCACCTTATTTTTAATATTTATCATTTTTATTTTTATTTTTATCTTTTTTTTAATAGAAAGTAGGATCTTACGATCCTCGATCCGATCCACCAGACCCTCTCACCGATCCTACTTAGGATCCCGATTTTAACAACCTTGTATGTGATTGCTAACCGTGAAACAGATAACTTTGCATTAAATCAACTGCTGTTGACTGTGCGAAAATTTGAAATTGTTAATTTCTTCATTGGTTAGAGAGAGTTAACATCGAAGGATATAAGCCCATGTAAGGATGTAAGTTGAAAAATAGGTGATATATTGCCACGTATGGATGTTCAGTTCAAGTAGTTGGGTTTGTACAGTTTCGATGGCTATGTGATTGTTGACCGTGAAATAGATAACTTTGCATTAAATCAACTGCTGTTGACTCTGCGAAAATTCGAAATTGTTAATTTCTTCATTGGTTTGGGCAGTTCAGACGGGTTCATTGGGTGGTTCGGTTCCTTGAACACCCCTAATTGGGAAAAGAAGAGCTCAAAATGAGCTAATAGCTTCTAGTTGTAGAGGAAAGGACAACATTGTCTCTTGTACTTTTTTCCGACTTTGGAGTCTAAGCATTTAAATAGTCAACGATTTGATTTTGTTTTGCATAGAGGTTGCAAATTCTTGATAAAGAGTTTCCTTATGTACTCCTTCCATTAATAGTTTTGTCATTATTGTCATGAAAGTAAATTAGGAAAGTTGAAGATGCATATAATGTAAGCCCTTAGTTGCACGAAGTGGGGGCGGGGGAGCATGAACACATCGAAGTTTCTTAAGTTGGGAGCACCTTGAAGAACGTTTACATATATTATGTATGTATATAATTGAAATAATTAAAAAATACATACATATATACATTGACTTTATTAAAATATATTGAAGTTGAACACTTTCACAACTACGCAAAAAGTATAATAGATCTTCATTATAAAATACATCAATATTACAAAAAAAAAAATAGTAAAAAAATAGTAAAAAAATACGAAAGAAAAGAAAAGAACCAAAAACTAAGGTAAAAAACAAAAGATTACAATTTCAATACAAAAAAAAAAATATTTCATTTCTCCTGTCTTATGCCACTTGCTTTTTCAAGCCTCTTTTGTGCTGCAACTTGCTCCATTGAAGACTGTTAACATGTTGGCAGTGGAAAAGATGAAGATTTAGGCTCTAAAGTTGGACATGGTTGAACATCCAAAGCTGCAAACACTATCTGAAAGTGATACACGATCTCATTCTATGAAGCACGGACACCTCCGGAGGTCACGTATGAGTGTCGGACACGTGTCAGACACGCTGGGACACGCTGGGGACATGTCGGGGACACGCTGAGGACACGTTAAGGACAAGTTGAGGACTATTTTTTTTCAAAAAAAAATTAACTTTTTTTAAAATTTTATTATTAAAATAGCATATCTAAAGTTGATAAATTTGATAAAATTAAATATTTGACAAAAAATACATATTAAATATAAAAAAATGACATATAATAAATATATAAAATTATATTTTTTGCAAGTGTTCCCAACATGTCGTGTCTTGCATTTTTTGAAAATTTACCGGTCCGCGTGTCTATGTCGTGTCACGTGTCCGTGTCCGTGTCCGTGCTTTTTAGATCTCTTTCTTTAATTGTCATAATATCGTCTTCAATGTTAACATTTTTTAGACACGCATCTCAATTTTTGAAATTTTCAAAGTCCTCCTTGTACCTTGACAAGAGTCTATGATTGTGGTGCACAAAATCCAACATCTTGGCTCGATCAACATTTATCCTATTCCTTTCACATAAATATACGAATAGGTAAACACATTTCTGCACAAGATGTATTCACACTTTGAGACAACGCTTTCAATGCTAAAAGGTTCAATTTAGGTGCTGCCCCACCATATACATGTCGCCATAGTGGATTCATGGTTGCTCTATTATTTATTGCTCGAGGTTGTGCAAAAACACCTTTGCTACTAACAAAACTAATTTGTTGTCTTATAACAATTTCATTTGGGTCACAAATCATTTTATCAATAGCCTCAAGATACCCTTTTGGACCTTAGCATCAAAGTGAGGTTTTTTCCTTCTCACCACCTAGGGCAGACTTTGGCAATCTAGAAGTAGTGTAATATTTGGGACAAGAATAATGTTAGACAATGCAAAAGAATGTTCATCTTATCCCATCTTTCCACCACAAATTTATGAATCAAATCATAAACTAAATGATCATTCGAAAGAGAATCTTTGATGTTCCCCAACATGGTATCCATGGACTCATATACCTCTCTAATGATAGCCTTGTCAGAATTTGAAAATTTGAGCATCTTATAGATGTGTTTTGTATGGTGAGAACTCTTTTTGATTTTCTCCAAAAATCATCATCCAAAATAACAATGCTTATTGCAGCTTTTTCTTTCGAAGAAACATCATGTCCATTAATAAAAATGGCGTTACCACCAGAAGCAACCATGATGTTAATCAGAGTTTGATTTTTTAAATTTGACCAACCATCAGAAACAATGGAAGCTCCATGTGTGCTCCAATCTAATGCTCCAAAAGGGTTATATTCTGGTCAGGTTGCTTAGCCCATACTTTGAATCTGTTGATGAAAGACATAGCATAGTGTGAGGATCCAGCTTTGTCATTTGTTAATGAATTATATAAGAGGGGTAAAGCAATGGTGCAATACATAAAATAAAATAAAAAAATCATAAGTCTTGTCAATTCTTGTTCAAGACATTCTATGCTTTGGATCTTCTCAAAGCAAAGAAAACTAGGTTTGGGCATCATTTCATCGTTTTACGACGTCTTGTTAAAGTAAGACCTGCTTTGTTGTCCATGGCTTTTGAGAAAAATTACAACATCTCCAAATCAACATGACATTGTCCACCAAACTGTTTTGGACTATGATTTTTGGAGAAAATAAAGGGAAAAAAGAAATTCTTCACAATCACAAAACACATATACAAGATGCTTGGATTTTCAGATTTTGATAAGGCTGTCATTAGAGAGGTATATAAGTTAATGAATACCAATGCCATGTTGGGGAACATCAAAGATTCTCTTTCAAATGATCATGTAGCTTATGATTTGATTAATAAATGTGGTGGAAAGATGGGATAAGATGAACATTCCTTTGCATTGTTTGCATATATTCTTGTCCCCAAATATTACACATTTTGTTGGTTGTCAAAGTCTAGCCCAGGTGGTGTGAGAAGGAGAAAACTGCTTTGACGTTGATGTCCAAAAGTGGTATCTTGAGGCTACTGATAAAATGATTTGTGACCCAAGTGAAATTGTTGTTATAAGACAACAAATTAATGCTTTTATTAGTAGCAAGGGTGTTTTTGCACAACCTCAAGCAGTAAATGATAGAGCAACCATGAATGCACTATCATGATGACATCTATATGGTGGGGCAACACTTGAATTATACTCTTAGTATTGGAAGTGTTATCTCAAAGTGTGAATACATCTTGTGCAGCAAGGTGTTGGAGTACCTATTCCTACATTCATAATGTGAAAATGAATAGGTTAAACGTTGATCAAGCTAAGAAGTTAGTTTTTGTGCGCTACAATCATAGACTCTTGTCAAGGTACATGAAGGACTATGAAGATTTTAAAAATTTGGGATGTGTATCCGGAAAATGCCAAACATTGAAGAAGATATTATGGCAATTGAAGAAAGATAATGTGTCACTTTTAGATAGTGACGATGACATCAATGTTGCAAATATGGATGTTCAACCATGTCCAACTTCAGTGCTTACATCTTCATCTCCAACTTCTCAAGAGTCTTCAATGGAGCAAGTAGCAGCACAAAAGAGGCTTGAAAAAGCACATGGCAAAAGGCAAAAAAAATGAAAAATATTTTGTTGTATTGGAATTGTAATCTTTTGTTTTTCACCTTAAATTTTGGCTCTTTTTTTTTTTTTTTACATACCTATGCCTGATATCCCCCCAAGTCCATATAACATAGACGATGCCAATCTCAGGTTTTTGAAGGTGATTGGATATTACTACCAATTTTATTCTTACACTCACATTTCTTCCTACAATATATATTTAATCTAGAATATTAGATGTCTGTATGTTCACAGACTCTTTAGGTTATATCTATAGTGACGTTTTTCTATCTTTCCTTCGAAGTTGCTTGTAGTCAATCTTTTTTTCTACATAATGAATACTTTGTCCCCCTTTTTATATTAAAAAAAAACTCTTCTTATTACCTTTTTAAAAGCCCTAGCACATACGCATCCCATTGTATGTCTTGCATCATTTAATCATTCATTATAATTTCTTTTTGCTTTTCTGGGAACAGTTTCTTATATGATACATCTATGTATATACATATATAGACATATCTTTTTAACATTATTTGTCTAGTCCACTAGGAGTATGAAAGTAGCCTCATATTAACTTTTTAAGCTTCACCTGCAGATCAGCTTATCAGGAGGATTGTTTGATAGGCAGCAACTTGGTGCATATCAGCTGAGAAATGATAAAGGTAGCTTTGATGACTTATTTAAAATTCCAAACATTTACAATCCTGTTTTAGTGCAGCCTTTTGGCAAAGATTTTGGAAGAAAAAAGGGTTTTGCATTTTGATATTTTTCTGGATAGGAAATCAGCAGATTTCATATGAATCATAGTGATAGGGAAACTTTTTTTTGCTGCAGTTGACTGTCACTAAAATTTGTTTTCACTTGTCTAAACATGAAAGGAACGATGATACTTTATACTTCATGGCCACGTTTGGTTTGTATTTGTGAAATAATTTTGAAAAATAATTTTCTGGAAAGAGTTTACAAAAAAAATTGTTTGGTTGTATGTTTTGAAAATAGTTTTGAATGATTTAATTTTTTTTTTTTGTAGTTGAATAAATGGGTGTGAGAGAAAAAGTGATTGATTGATGTATAGTAGAGAGAAAAGTGATTTTTTTTTTTTTTTTTTTAAATTTCATCCAAACAAATTTTTGAAATTTTTCTCAAAAATTGTCTCGCAAGAGACAAACCAAACAAGGCCTATATTTTTTCAGAAATAGAGTGCAGTTGTCATAAGTAGTATACATTTTTCTTTTGTTTTCTTGGTTATATTTTCTTTTGTTACTGCAAGTAGTGAGGATGTACCAATTCATACATGGAATAAAGAAGGTAAAAGACAGATTTCCTAAGAGGCGATATATCCTCTTTTCTGCATCTGAAGATCAGTTGCCATGCACTGAGCTCAAACCAGATGCCACGGAGCAAGAAAAGGACCAACCTCTAGCTGAAGATGTGTTTCCTGTAAACAGTTTATCTTTCCATTCGGAGGGAACTGGGGGAAGACCAGGTTTAATCTCATTTTATAATCGTTCTTATCAGAGAGAAGAGGAAATCCATATATCCAGCCCCAGAGGGAATCAGAATGATCTGCTATGGTTTGTTGGTCCTGCTGTCCTTGTAGCTTCTTTCGTTTTTCCCTCACTTTATTTGCGAAGGATTCTGTCTGCTATATTTGAAGATTCTCTATTGACAGGTGGGCACATTTAACTTATGCTGTCGTTGAGTTCTTGTTTCATATACAGCCCTTCTTATTCTTCTTATTTATGGAAAAATAACTGATTGTTCATAAATATAGTGAAAATGATTTAAGGTGTTTACCATTTGGAAACTGTGTTACATGGATCGGGCACGACTCTGTGGAGTGGGTTGGTGCCTAAGCGTCAAACCTTCAAACTCTTAGGATATTTGATATGCATCCAAAAGTTGGGTATGGGTATAGGGGGCATGTTTTGAACACACACATACATATATTACATATCGTATAATATTCTTAGATAAGATGGTATATATTATTTAGAAATATTCTTGAAAAATTAAACAATATTTAAGAAAAATATGGAATTTCTATCTCCCATCCACCTGAATGACAACAAATATTTAATGTGAGCTTCTTCTTCTTTAATCATCACATAAAATTAGAGAATCTATGTGTCTAAATTGGCTATGAATGTTTGACACATATCCCACAACTATGAAGCACGGGTACTCCAAAAATAGTGCCGTACGAGTACCGGGTACTTACTAGGTGCGGTAAGCGTAATGGGTATGTCGAATACATGCTGGATACGGAAAATACATTTGGGTACGCCGTGGGTACGACATAGGTACGATAGCTGTACGGTGAGGTGAATTTTTTTTTTTTGCAGCTGCTAGAATTTATTGCAGCCTTTATTATTCTTCTTTTAATTTTGAAAATGTCAAGTAATTTATTTCTAACACCCTTTACCCATGAGTCATGATTTTGCTCTATTTTGCATCGTGTTTTAGACAATCATAAAAGAAAAAGAAAAAGAAAAAATTGTATAACTTTTTAGATGAGTTGTTTGATTTGTTTGTTGAATGTTTAGCTATAATTTAAAAAAAAAAAATATTTGACGTACTCCGACCGTAGTCGTACCTTACTTTTTAAAGAATTTGCCATATTGACGTCCCGTATCGTACCCGTACCCCGTATCCGTATCCGCACCCGTGCTTCATAGTCCCGCACCCTTACCCTGTTACTTGGTTTTGGGTAGAACTCAACCCAAAAGCTAGCAATTGAGGTGAGGGTGTGCCCTCACACTTATCTACTACATATTACTTTAGTATTTAGGCGATGTGGGATTTCGTTTCACAATATCCAGTGGATATGGATACTTTGGGAGAAATAGAAGAGTCCATGTAAGTTGGAATGGAGGATGACAAAAAGGGGTATTAACTTTGTCAGTCAGAAAAGGTATCAAGGTTCAAAGATCTTCCAGCAAAGATAAGCATATAAGACCTATTGAATGGCACAGCTGAAGTGTTATTGTACAGATGTGAATATCTTCCCTGACCCGATTGTATTTGACCAAACCAGATTCTAATATAAAGGGTTTGGGAGAGCATTGATAGATTAGGGTCGAGTACAAGGGTAGGTAGGTCAAACTTCCTAGGTTAGGGTAAATGGTATGAAATTGTATCACTAGAGTGGTTGAGTTCAAAATCAAGAATTTGTGCTCGAAACCCAAAAAACCTCATCTTGTTGCCATCCCTAGTGATATTTGCAAGGGATACAAAAGATGAACATATGGAGAAATGATATGAAAGTTCACAAACTAATATGAAAACATGGTTTGGCATAGAATGGACTGAAAGAATCCTGGTCTCTTACCTAGATGAATCCTTTGGAATTTAGAGCTAGAATCCTGGGGCAGTTAGGCTGTGTTTGGATCTTAGTTGCACAAAACGGGAGCGGGAGCATAGGAGTGTGCTCACTTAGAAGAGTCGTAGGTTGGCACCATTGAAAAATTTAAAAAAAGAGAAGTTTATATAGATAAATTAAAAATATTATCAATAAAAAAAAAAAAAGTAGAACAAATAACAAATAATAGATTTTGTTAAAAAAATGAAAAAAGGAAAAAAAGAAATAACAAATAAAATTTTATAAAAATTATTTCAGGCATAAAATAAACTATATTATATAATATAGATTACCGGTAATTAAAAAATAAAAAAAATTATATTATCTATGATAGATGTAGAAGAAAATATAAATATTGATTTTCGAAGAGATAAACTTCTCTCCCCCCCCAATCCAAAAAAAATAGATTTATTTTATTTATTTTCTTAAAAAAATACCCCCCCCCCCCCCCAAAAAAAAATGTTATCTGTTAAAATATTCTAGTTATATAATTTTATTAGATTTCTTTTTTAAAAATAGATGATTTATTTTATTTATTTTCTTTAAAAAATAAAATAAAATTATTTTGTTAAAATTTTCTGTTAAAATAAAGCCTCATTTTCCGTAGTTTCTCTTCACCTATCTCAAAACCTTAGTCTCCCTTCTTTCTCTCCCCCCTCCGCCACCGGAAATCGAGAGATTGTGTTCGAGAGACAGAGAGATCGAGGTCGAGAGTGAGAATGAGAGGTTGAGATCGCGATTGCGATCGCTTCCTTCTTGGACAGATTTCCGTTTTTCTCACATTAGAAGTGCGATTCTTATACAATTCTTCCTCGGAATCGCAAAATCACACTTCTTCCTCAAAAACGTGATCATCTTCAACGATTCTTGCTACTAAGGTTTGGATGATGGATTTGGATAGAGATTTGAAAACCCGAAAGAGAAATAAAACCAATCCATTTATCAAAAAAAAATAAAAAATAACCAAACCAAACCAAACCAAACCAAACTAAGCCTTAAGTCCCATCAAATGGGGTCGGCTACATAAATCTTTCTTTTCCACTCGACTCTATTAATGACCATTTGGTTAGTCAAATTAAAAAGATTCATATTTCTATTTACTATACTAGTCCACGTCAATTTAGGTCTGCCCCTTCCTTTAACACTTCCATCTATCGTCACTGTATCGCATATCTTCACTACTGTCTCTGTTAGTCTTCGTTGTATATGACATCTCAATCTATTCTCTCTCAACTTATCTTCTATCGGTACTACTTCTACCCATTCATGAATATACTCATGCAAGTATTTGGAAAAGAAACATATATCACATAACACATGCAAGGACACATGGGCACACACTTTTGTAGAGAGAGAAAGAGAGGATATACTAGACATATGAAAATTTGATTTGATTAGCATTGGAATTATTTTTATTTTATTTTATTCTCAGTAATCTGTTGCTCTGTATCTGCAGATTTCCTTATATTGTTTTTTACGGAGGCTCTTTTTTACTGTGGGGTTGCGGTGTTTCTTCTGCTAGTAGACCATTTACGAAGGTCCATTGTGCTGGTTTCTGCATATAACAGTAACCTAAACCCTCGGTTGGGCCACCGAATCTCTTCTGTTGCTGTCTTAGTACTTAGTCTGATAATTCCAATGGTGACAATGGGCTTTGTCTGGCCTTGGACTGGCCCTGCTGCTTCCGCTACTCTTGCCCCATACCTTGTTGGTATAGTTGTGCAGTTTGCATTTGAGCAGTATGCGAGATATGTAAAGTCACCTTCATGGCCTGTCATTCCCATTATCTTTCATGTAAGTATTTACTGTTAATTATCTCAGTTGACAATCTCTGTTTGGATGGACTATGGAGATAAATTGAATCTGAACTTCTGTAATCTTTACTTGTTAAAATTATGTCACATGTTATTAGCTATCTATAGTTCACTTAACTTGTGTTCAAATTATGTAACTCAACATATCGTGTATTATATGCATAATTCATTTAACATGCGTGAATGAATTAAGATTTCAGTGAATGCAGTTAAGTTTTACTGAAGTTCTTCATTAAAGTACCACATTAAACTTTTGTTCTCTCTTGTACAATTGACGGAAAGGTTATGATTCTCATCCGTCCATTATGATTTATTTAGCAATGATTTTCCATGTATTAAATTTTCTCCAAAATTCTAAAATCCTTGAGAGGGTGGAAGTTTATCTGTAAACTAAAGATTCAATTTTTGTTACTTACAGGTTTATAGATTGCACCAATTGAATAGAGCAGCACAACTGGTGACGGCTCTCTCATTCACAGTGAGAGGAGCTGAAATGACATCGCACAACCTGGCTATAAACAGTTCATTGGGCACACTTCTGAATGTCCTTCAATTCCTTGGGGTGATTTGCATCTGGTCCCTATCGAGCTTCCTTATGAGGTTTTTCCCTTCTGTCCCCATCGCCGAGCAGTGAGGCACAGTAGCATTCTTATTTCACCTTTTATTAAAGAACATTGCTGGTGATCTTGTTTAGATGGTGTGGAGTGGTGGGTCCTCCTTTTTGCGGTTTGGTTCTGCTCCCTTGGATGCGTTTGTGGTTGGTCCAGTTTTGTCTGGTGGCATCTGAAACTACATGTGACAAAGCATTTGACAGGTTATTAAGTAGATTCTAAGATCAGGAGCAGGATATTCTCAATGATGATTCATACGGCAGAAAATGCAATTATAATTCGAGTTGCTGCTTTGCTAGTTCTGTGCTCTCCTTTTTGCGAGGGCCTAGCTTCCAACTTTTATGTTTTGGAATGCTAACATCATTGATGTGATCAAAATGCGATTTCCTTGTATATTTGATCATATGCTGTTTCAGATTGTTTTTTACAGGAAAATGTGCTTCTAAAGTTGTTTAGTGTGAACACTAGTCGGAGGAACTGTTGATTTTTAGTGTCCCTGCTACTATATAGGATTTCTCTGTGTATTCCTTGGGTTAGCCATGGAGGGACTTCAAATTTATTGTTCACCATACTCTTACAAGAAGGTTAATTAATCAATTTTACAAGTGGTGAGGTGGATTATGTCTAATGAACAAATTTGAATGGTATGCTTCACCTGGAATTTATATGGAAGATTTTAGATGTTTTAATTTCTTCAACTTCTCCCAAAACGAACTTAACAGAAGTTATTCACCCAAAACACTTAGCAGATGTTGAATTCAACAGAAGTTCCTGTTAAATTTGTTGAATGGTTGTATGGTCTAATTTTCTTTGAAAGGAATCAACAAATCTTATGATGTTTTTTTTCTTGGCAGACTGGAATTTGAAATTGGAATTCACTATAACAATGTGATAAATGTTACATCGGTGAGTATAAAGAGTTTATGAAGAATAATATGATAAATGTCACATCATTTTTTTCTCCGTTAAGATAATAGTTAGTATGCCAGTAGTTAAATCACAACTTAGGCTAATGTCTTTCCGTAAATTCTAATGTAAAACCTCAGTCACCTTGGCACCTAAATGCTACATCAGCCACTAGTATAGAAGGTTCATAACCAAGCTTTATTGGTTTGTATAGCATTCTACTTACTCTTGTTAAATTGGCAGTTCATAGACCTTATACGCTTCAATGAAGTTTGGATTATTCCCTTGTGTTTTGATCTTGGCTTTATTAAAATTAGTTCTGTTTCTTGCTTCATATTGTTTCTTATCTTTTTCTTCACCTTGATAAATTTCTGATCCAAACATAAGCTATCCTCGAAGAGGAGGCAGAATTTCTTGACGGGTGTTTTGGCCTCCAAATATTTATTTAGGGTGTAGAATGCGTTGGTTTCAGTTTTCTGAATTTAGTTTTCTGAAAACTGAATTTTTTGTTTTTCGTGAATATTTTAAAATTTTAAGTAATTTTTTTACTCTTTTAGATGTAACTTACTTAGATGTATCTAAAATAGTAAAATATTTGTGAAAAAAATATTTTAAAAAATTAATAAATACACAAAATACGAAAATGTACTAAATTTTCGTATTTTTTTTTATATTTTTTGGTATTTAGTGTATTTTTTAAAGATTTTTTTTCACAAATATTGTACTTTTTTAGTGTATTTATGGTAGGTGTGTCTAAAAATTAAAAAAAAAAGCTTAAAATATTAAAAAAATTCATTGAAAACATTAAAATACGAAAAATAAAAAAGTAGAATTTTTTAAAAACTGTTTTCTGAAAACTGGAACCAAACAATTGTTTTCCTTTTTTTTTTTGGACAAATATTTTTTAAAATTGTTCTCTCTGTTTTTAAAATAACCAGCTTCAAGAAACATAAAGAGTTATTTTTTTAAAACACAATTAAAAAAAAAAAAAAAAAAGAAGCCGAAAATGATGTCAAATAGGCCCTAGCAAGCAAGTTGTTATCCGTGGGATTAGATTCAGTTGTCAATTTGACACAGTAGGTGAGGTGAGGTGTGGTGATGTTGCTCGATATATGTTTTTGTTCTAAATGAGATGTATTCAACTCTCTTATTTAGAGTATGGACCAGTAGTCTACTTCATAACCCTTTATGTGTGGTCATATAACTCTTCTTTCATTCTTTTCTTTCTCCTTTATAATTTTTGATATTTCTGCTCAATGTATAGTTTTAGAGTTGAATTTTTTTTAACCATCCAAGTGTTGGTATTGCATGAGATTGAAGTCACTTTTAACCTCAAGAGGTTGGCTAAGCGATAAACTTGGTGATCAGATTTAAGGTTTCAAGTTCGAGTTATTCTAAGGGGTTATTGGAGATTTGTCCGATCGTTGATTTCAGAGTTCTGGAACTAATACAGGTGCGCACAAGCCCAATTATCATCAAGCCAATTAGATATCTAGGGGAAGTGCTATGACATCTAGCTTTTCTTCCATCACTAAAGTTCAAATAGTGATAAAAAGTTTAGCAACATTGGTAAACTAGACATCTTGTATCTCATTTGTATTTGTAAACTTAACGAATAATACTTGTGATTTGCGAGTAATTATAAATATCTAGAGTTTATTATGGAAAAAAATAAATTCAAAAAGACTCTTCATAAAAAATAAAAAAGTTAAGTAGCATCAATATTCTAGAAGGTCAACAAAAATTTGGACATATTTATTGATGTGATCATTGTTTTTGGGGTGTTTCTCCTTGTAGGTTAGGGTATAGTGTGTTGGATATTTTAGTATGAGTGGAAATTAACTCCATAGAAATCGGAAGGGTGCGATTTTTTATGACGTCTGTTCAGATGAAAAGGTATAATTCTTCATAAAAGAGTCATGACCTTCCAAAATAGTTGTCTATACGACTACAAATATTATCTCCGTGGCATTCATTCAAGATAGAAATTTTAGGATTCACACATTATTCATTAAGTCGAGTATAAAAGAGAGAGTAGATGCACAATGATGTTTGTCAGACTTGCAAATTGAAGTGCTGCTTCTGCAAGGTTTGTATCGTGGAAGACGGATGCCCATGCAAACTTGTGAGCACCAGAGCATGGGGCAAAATTCGTCTTAAGGACATTCTGTCTAACATGAGCCTCAATCAAATTATTTTCGTTTCCAGAAATATACATTCTGTCTGAGTTTTTCTAAATTCTTTTCCAATTGCATTAAATTTATTTTCAGTTTCTGTATTAATTTCAGAATCTGATACAGATTTTTATCTGTTTCATACAAAGCACACATAAGATTTCTCCAACATGTATGACTTGTCGTGGTCTATAGGCCAATTGTTAGAAAAGAGTTCAAATTTTTGAGTTGAAAGTGCTTGAGATTAGCTGTCTGAAAGATTAGTTACTACATGATTCTAGCTAGTGTTAATTTGGGATTAACACTACTAATTGCCATGCCTCTGCTACTAAATGATGCTTCTTTCAGATTAGTGATTTCCAAGTTTTGGGGTCAATTATATTATTAAATAATCAATATGGTTAAAGAATTGCTGCTCAGCCCAACTCAGGGACCAAAGCTGACCTACACCATCTTATATGTAGTTTTTGCAAATTTATGTTTTCCAACAAACTAACCCATTCGGTAATTTTTCAAACGGGAAGGGAGATCTGTATTAAACAGAAACCGAAGAGGTATTGATGTAATTTACCCAATTTTTTGAGATTGTAGTATTGCTGATAGAAGTGGTGCAAGAAAGAAACTACTTGTTCTTGTTGGCGCAAGAAATGATGAACTCAATTCGTTGTCTAATGTAAATAATATAATATGAAAATAGCCTATGAGCATTGCCTCCTTGGATATAACCAACAACTATAGCAACTTTAGAATACATTTTTGGTGCAGAGAGACTAATGTCGCTCTGTTTTTGGATTGTTGGTGGTGATCAATATAGCCACACACAAAAAAATAAATATATAAAAATTTGGCGAGAGAGACGCGGATGCTTTAAGGCCTTTGTTTGGTAAAATTTATTAATGTTTTAAAATTAGTTAGCTTAAATAAATAAATCATCCCAAATGCATAAAAGCTAGCATTTTAAGTTTATTTTCAGGGGCATTTATTCATAAATTCCTCTTGAGCATGATCTGAATTTGTTCAATTTGGGGTAAAACTAGGACCAATCCGTTGTCTACGGTTCCATAAAAATTAGAACCAAACCAATCCATTTAAATCATGGAATCAATCCGAATCAAACCATTTAAATACGGTTCGGCTCGGCTTGGAATCACGGTTTCACATATTGTGTTCACAAGAAAAATCATATAACATTTTCAAAAAAATTCAACCTACCATAAATTGTTCAACATTAATCTGCTCATGATTTTTCAAAACATAATTGAAACAAAAATAATGTCTAATAAATAAACATATTGTTCAACATGTAACAAATATAGAACTCACATCAAACAAATATTTTGTCATGACAATAATTACAAAACTAAAATTATGCTAAATAATAAAAAAAACGCTACATGAATAGCAGCAAGAACAACACTAAAGTGTATGGTTTAAGTTATATATGGTCCAGTTCAGTTCTAATATGAAACCGTGGACTCAAATCCGAAACCGATCCACAGAGACCGGTTCCCCAATTTACTAAACCACGGCTTCAAAAAATCAATCCAAACCTACCTGATTGGACTGGACTGGACCTGTTCGGATTATGGATTTTCGGATTCCTTGCTCAGCCCTACTTCTTACCTACTTATGTTCCATTTAGTTCAAATTATTTTTTATGTTACAATAAGTTATATGGGTGACATAGTTATTAAAATATTCTTAATAATAATAGGGTGAATCGTGTATTAATATTTATATTAACAATGTAAGTGTTCCTTGATGTGAACATTTACATTGTTACTGTGAACATTCACATTGTAAAATTTATTTAATATGAATATTCACATCACCAAGTTATTAAGGGATCAAAAAATATTTTTAAAGATAAAATAATCCATAAAATACTTGAAATATGAGAATTTGTGTGATGACTGGGAACGTTGTCCACCTCATCCTCTTGAGTTGTGTTGGATTTACTTTCGTTAAAATGTCGGGTCTTAATGCGTGGTCTTGTTAACTATTGGGTTCGTTGTTTTGAAAATTTCTCAAAAATTTTTGTTCTTAATTATTCCTATCCCGAGTTCCTCTTGTTTCGGATGGTGCGAAGTTGGGTCCGGAGTACCTTGGGCTGAACTGAAAATTTCTCCTAGCTGGAGGGCAGACCCGCATGTACGGGGGCTTGGGCCGCACGTGCGGGAAACAAGGGATTGTTGAGGGTTCTACTGCAATATATGTAGGTGCGGATGGAGGTGCGGGGAGTGCCGCACATGCGGGAGGTACGCTCCGTACGTGCAGGACTTTGCTAAATCCGAATATTCTAATTTTTTCTCTTCTTGGGCCGTGTGTATATCACTTTTTGTATACCTCTCTCTCTCTAAAAACCAATTTCTCTACATTCTCTCTATATTTACCTACACCAAACAAGATCAAAACCTTGATTTCTTCAGATCCATTAGAGTTTTGAACATCCTTCATTAAATTTGGAGAGCTAACCGAGGGCTTCGTTTGTGCGGTAGAGATTAGATTTCAACATCGTCAAATCTGGGGGTTTCTCTTCTCTTCTTCTCCAAAACTTGAGGTAGAGATTTTCTCAGAGTTATGTATATATAT